AATTTAGAAATTATTGAAGAGTAGATTGATTTCGTAAGCCTGACGTCTATAAGAAAGTATCATGAATAAATCAATATTCAAAATGAACAAAAAAGTTTTACTCTTTCCTAGTTACTGTCGCACAAAAGCGCTGAAAATTGTTTCCTTGAACGGCTTGAACAGAAAAGCTTTTCTTAAGGTATGGTTTGGAATATTTAATGACGAAATGTTGACGTTTACGAATCGTATGATAAAAGTATTTATTATCATGAGAAAATATAAGAATTTGTGACCTAAAAATGAAAATGCCGCATCTCATCCGTTAGTGTGGTTATTTTCAGACACAATTCACGTGAAGTAAAGCTTGCACAGGGCCAGAAATTTGTAATTATGCTCCTTTGGATGTTGACTATGAATCCATAACATTGATTTACTGAACACAGTTGGGATATTTTAAAATAGATGAATACTTGCCGTCCGTCAATTGTGTTTCCTGCACCGACATGTATATACTGGTACAGCTGTCGACGTTGGAACTTATGTCTGCCCATTGGATTGTACTGTGTGGACCATACTTATTCGAAAACGAATAAGGAATAGGGAACTAACTTTATGTACATGAAAAATTCTCTTTTTTTTACATTCAAACAATATGTTTTGCAGCGGATATATAGGTTAAGACACTTTAACAATATTACAATATTGTAAACGCCTTAAGATATTCTTTATAAAATATAGCAAAACATAACGGAACATATTTGTGACTATGTATACATGTACTCTAATAAACAATATTATAACAATATAGACAACATATGATGACAAACAGAATCATCCACAGTCACATATGAAACACACAACTTTACAAGAAAAACTTTTTCAACACTGTTGTAGGAATAATCCTCCAGAAATTAAACAAAATCTTACAGCAATTATTCTCTTAAAAATTCTAACAAAGATTAACTAGGACACTTAAAACAGACAAATATACAAAAAGCATGACAATGAGATGTGAGTCTAAGCACGGTTTTAGTTACAAATGTTTAAACATTTTTCAATTTCAGGTCATTTTACACAGTAAAAATGATAATTCTTGAAATATGGAAGTGATCAGTTGATATGAAATTTTGCAAAACAGATTTTCAATGTACATCATAATCTTGTAATAATATTTCTAACCCTGTCATATCAAATGTCCTGCGTGGAGACATTTAACACACTGTCATGATGTGTTCCTTCATGCGTATTCTTACATGTCGTGTATTTTTGCATGCTTTGTAATGTCTAAATTGTAAATTTGTCGTTAACGGCAAGTATTTCCCCTCCCATTCATATATATATTTTATTTATTTTTTTATTATTTTTTTTTCTAAATGATCGATGAACGTTTCAGTTCGACTTATTCAAACTGTTATATAAATGCAAAGGTATTGCATAGATCTGTATAAGACATGATAAAGTTGACAAATATGAAAAAAAAACTTGTGCATTCATACCAATAAACATTTCTTTATAACATAGGTCAAGGGTTAACTTCGTCCCGTTAGGTCAATTGAAATACACTATAGAAACAGTTGACATTGATTTCAATAGGTCAAATGTCCAACTTACTGGAATATAACACTTTTTTTATTATAATAATAATAATAATAATATTTTGTAATAATAATAATAATATTAGGAATAATAATAATAATGATAATAATAATTATAATAATAATAGCCTTATCATATACATTTATGATATTTATTCTTATGTTCTCGGATTTACTGATAACTACCGAGTACTTTAATATACTGGGGGATACACGGGTACAGATAAAATTTGATATTCATATTGAGTGTTCAGGAGTACCTGAAAATGTGTACTCGAGTACACGAGAGAGATCTCGTCTTGATCAGGATGCGCATTAACGAAGTACATTTATTATTCTAGATAAGAAAGAACGATAGCTAGAAACAACAATAATGAATTACTGAAGCAATGATACCACGATGTTAAAGACGAAACTTCAATGCTATGAGCTCAAAACAACGAAACCTTGTTGTTTGGAGCTCATAGCATTTCTGTAATATTTGTACAGAATAACCCATTTATATCCCCAAAAGAAGGGCATATAAAATTTAATTCCCCAAATCGCCCTCCGTCCAATTAAAGAAATGCGTCCAAGCAAAATCGTATAGTTTCTATCAACCGCCAAATGCTGGTTATTATTAACAACAGCAACCGCAGTTCCCATAACGTTTCCTTGAAATCCAGTCAGCACTTGCCGAGAAGCGGCGCAAAAATGAATAATGCTCTGTATACAGAACCATATTTATTCAGGGGCCATAACTCTATGTTTAAAGGTTCGACAATATCCCTTCTCAGTTTAATCGGAAGAGGATAAAGATATGACATACATGTACTTTAAAGTTTTCATATCTTAAAGATTCCAGGCCAGCAAACGGTCAAGTTAACACAAAAGTCGGAAGAATTAAACGTCTGTGAGTACAAGTTTGAAAGAAATCCATCAAGTAAACAGTAATTACGAGGATATATTTTTTTATCACCTGACCTTTAATATGCGTAATTGACTGTCTTGTTACAGGGATTATTGTGTCCAAATATGAGAGAGATCCATTCATTAATGAGCATAAAATATTTATCCAGATAGTGAATGTAACAGAATTTCATGTTTATGACCATTTATGACATATCCCTCAGTCTATATGGCCCTAATAACATACACATTGGAAACATATGGTGTATGAGTAACAAATAAACAATGCTGAAAACTTCATTTTACCCGCTGTGATTCACTAATCAAAATGTTGCATGTTTTCTCTGCTTAACATGCCCTGCCGTTATGTATACGGGTCTTGGCAAACTAAGTAAAACAAGCAAATTCGTTGAATTGATATCCCCCGCCGCATGATTCTTATCACTCGACTGAAGTTTCTTTGTAGTATGTACCTCAGATATTGATGAATATAATTTATTATCATTACTTATAATACAAAACCTCCAACAAAATTGATCAATCTCAAGCAAAAATGCCTTTTGATGGTTCCTTTAAATTTTGTTGAAATCCAGTAAGCCGATGACGAAAAATAGTACAAAAATGAATATAACTGTATACATACTGCATAACGAATGAGTGGTATTATTTGATACTTACAATGTACTTTCATAACATATTCTGTCCATAACATTATATGTGTATAGTGTTTATAAATATCCTTAGCATGCTTTTTCTGACTTTATTGCGATAACTGCTAAGAAGTATGTAAATGTGAATGTGTGTAAATGTAAATGAAGTCGTCCATTAAATAACGACAACATAGTTTAAGATAGTGGATATTTGTTCAGTTCAGTGAAATCACTTGTGACTATAAAAAACAATATTTTCACTCGTGGCTACTGCTGCCACGAGTGAAAATATTGATTTTTATGTTCACAAGTGAATTAACAAACGATCTTTCACTGAACTGAACACATTTTCTGTTTCTTTTATGCTTTTATGGATGATTATTACGTCTTGTTATTTTCATTGTTCTTTCACGTTTGTTATTTCACAGTACAACGTCATATTTCACTTAAATTTAGCCAATAGTTTTTCAAGAAATAGCCCGGAAACGAAAATACTTCAAACGTATATTGTTTAACTAATCAGGTGTAATAACTCTAGGTTTAATGGTCGAACTCGGTTACCTCAACGATGTTCTCATCACCTCTTGATAAAGAAGTTTCATTGAAGTCTAGCCATTAATTTTAAAGAGCTGGAACGGAAACGAAACTCGGACGCACAGATGATCGCACACACGGACAACGCCAAAGCCTTCGCGATTAAATCGTTGGGGATAACAATCTACCAGTGATCTAACTTGGTGATAATAACTGTGAATGTGTGAAAAGTTCGTTTGGCAATATCTTAGCATGACGCTTTTTATTTTTATTTTACGTGTGACGAATTCGTTTCTGCTTCCAGTGCGGTAGGGGGGGGGGGGTAAAGGTGCTGAACGAATAATTCACAAATGTGTGCCAAAGTCGCACGAACTTGTCACACACGTATGAGGAATTCGACTGAATTTTTCACTGGTGTGACGAATTCGTTTTTGTGAATATTGAGGTTCAACATACCTTTATGATAAAGTATTTATACTGATATATATCAATCGACACTAAGAAATGCATGTATTAATTTAAATAGAGGTGCCTTTTAAAAGAGTTCGTCTAGACTGATCAGGAAATCTCAAATTTGAAACTACATCCCACAAGGTATTACATGTATATGATACCGACTTAACAATAATGTATGGAGAACTCTACTAAAGATATGTACACATGCAAATTAATCAATGATATCTCATCGAGGTACATACATAATATCATCACGGTAAGATACGGCGGGGAGAAGTGGAAAATTTATGTTATCCGGAACTCGGCAAATGTATGTTTTTGTAAGCATATCCATAGGTATAAAATACTTTTACCGTTATAGCTTCACTGTGCACTATCAGTCACAATATATTAGTCAAACCTGTTGCGCTTATTTTCGTTAAATGATTTAACACACACAAGTTATATCAAAATCACTTCCTTATAGTCTCTGCTTTAGTCAGTCATTCATTCATTCAGTCAGTTAGTCAGCCAGTAACATTAAAAATCTTCAAAGTTGCAAATTAAAAAAACCCACTAAACTTGATGCGTGTTTGTTATTAACTATCATATGAGCAACCTCTGAATGTCAGAAAGTCTACTAAAATGTCTGTATCTATATCAAAGTTAAACGCTTATGAGAAAAAATAGATGATTTGATTTTTACAGTAGAGCGACTACCTAAATTTTGCTGTCCAAAGGGACTCAACATCTCTACGATAAAGACAATTAGAATTTTTCAAATAAAGCCCTTTTCATTGGACAAAAAAATTCAAATGCAAGTAAAGATGAATATGCACTAAGTTAAGTCCCTAAACATATCGAAGTCGAAATGGACCGAAAACACAGAAAGGATAGGTCATAAAAGAGAAATACAGACAAAGTTTAAATGTTTTACTTTTATCAAAATAATGTATGTAACAGTTCAAACAAAGCACTGGAAAGGAATGGCTAATGTTTTCTTGCAATCTGTTAAACCAGATCTGAAATGAATAAAATGTAAAATTTAGATACACATGTACTGTAAAAAAATGAAAAATAATATTAATTTATTCACTGTCGACCCGGTCGAGATTTCAGTTGGAGTATGTGCTATGTAAAATTTATATCAAAACATATAACCTGGTAGAAGTGTATTTTAAGAATTCAGTACAAAGAATAAACTTTTAACATCAAAAGAGTATGCTTTGAGTATAGGTTTTATAATACCGCACGTTTGTAACGTCATTTTTCATTGGATATTCGTGACGTTTATATAGTTTTATATACACGGCTGCTGTCGATTCACGATTTTTTTTTACCTTTTTTCTCTCTTAAAATGATGCGTGCTGTATTATAAATTCGTTATAAAGATTGTTGGCAGGTTATATGGCCGTATATAAACGGCTGTTTGCAATATAACCCTCGCCTAACGGCTCGGGTTATATTTACAAAAAGCCGTTTATATAGGGCCATATAAGCTGTCAACGATCTTTATAACTAATAATATATAGACTTATTGAACGTCGTTTTCAGAATGCCTTTTCTGCTTATGTTTGCGAAACAGAATGCAAACAGTCTTCTCTGCCAAGACCGACACTGATTCGAAACTAAAATATATTGTATTTGTTCGTTTGCCTAGTTGTAATGACATACTATATTAGCTTTTAACGGCGATTTGATGAGAATAAATAACTGTTATATGATCACATTAATCATTACACCGCATGCTAAATCTGTCAATAGTTATATATCGATCTTCAACCGAGGTTTAAAGAGCAATATACTTCAAAGTCACATAAAAATTAGTCAAGATATAATAATAAAAAAGCTGGACGGAATCCTGATCATTTAAAAACTTAATATTAGTTAAAATTGGTATTCCTTTTATATAACATGTGTTTAATGTATGAACACATTCTGTAAATTGACATATAAGTAATCTATATAATTATATTACCAAACAGAGCACTTGCTCCTGTCAAAGGAAATAGGATATAATTATCTTCTGTAATATATTTATACCCCGGTATATATATACATGTACATGTATATCTACGTGGTATGGGGCAATCAATTGAAATATAATGCATATAACAGGTTACTTAAATTTTTTATTTACAACAATATTGTCCTAGTAACATATTACTCTTACCAAAAAAAGCCCAATCCTCCAAGAAGACCAGCAGCTCCAATACCTCGAACGAGTGGACTACCGCCACCAGCTAGAAGAGCCGCACCACCCAATACAGCTAATCCGCGTCCACCACCACCACCACCGAAAAATCCTCCTCTTCCAAATCTTGGATATCCAAAACCTGGGTACCCATACCTGGGATCTGAATAAAAAAATACATATAATTACACATCCGTAAATAAAATAGATAGACGTGTGTTAGTCAATCAAATCCTGTTCATGAAATTTGTCCATTGAAAATATTGTGACAACAGCAACTATGCAAGTGGGTACTTATCGTTATCGGGAGCAAACCAAATCCTTTTTATTGTGAACATTGCTCAAACATTTAAATTTTTTATGAGTTAAGAGTTTACTCAAACAAGCAAGACATGTAAAATACTTTTATAATTACATGACAGTAGAAGTAATGTTATAATCATTTACTCTGTACGTTTTCTCGGGTAATTTTCCGGCAAATCTGTGAGATGTTTCAAACTTAGTAAAGCCTCCTAATAGACATATAATAACTCACATTTCTTTTAAAATTACTTATTTTTAATGTTATCGACAAATGAATGCAAGACATATTTGTCTGACAGTCTCGGATGAATTGGAAATAATGAGTGTAATGTTTCAGTAAAATAATAGCTAATCGTTATATAAATAGATAAAAACGGAATCCTTAAAGAACGCCCAAATCGACAATATTGAAAATGTCGCAGGCTCAGTTTGATTGAGTCTGTTCTTGGACGGTACTGGTAAGTGCAAGTTAGCGCTCACGCCCAAAGCACCGGCTTAAGCAGAATTAAACATTTAATCATGGTAATGGTGAAACTTTTCATTTAAAAACATCCGCAGACAGTTTATAATAAATTAAGCTGCGTCGAGTAAAAACAGAACTATACGATATACATACATCCACCAAAGAAAACTTGTGCATTCGTTGTCACAGCTGACAACAAGAGAATGGCAAGACAAATTACAGCTGCTGACTTCATCTTGATAACACTGAAATCAAAATTGAAGACTTTTCTCTTACCGTATCAAGAAACGAACACATACTATTTCTTTATAAGAAACATAACCATTAATAATTCGCTTAAAATATGTGTAAACAATCTATATTTTATTAATTTTCTACAGAGTACATGAACAAAATTACGTACACTTTGCTAGGTCAACAACTGAGCATTCAATGAAATAATGTATAAAATATAAATTGCAATAGAACATCAAAATAATTTATATATAAGAATACTGTTTTACATAAGAATCAAATATTCGTTTCATAATTATATTTTTGAGTATATGAATTACTCTATGTTACTTATGAAAGGAAAGGAATTATAAACTTAAGGAAAAAAACTTACCTGGTGATATCAAATATGCCCCAACTATGTTGAACAAATAAGACGAGATATTTAGAAATAACGTACTGAAATTTTTTGCTGATATTTTTCTATATATTTGCCGGTTCTTATTACTTCAACTGACCAATCATTGCATAGGTGGTGTCCGTTTAATTGGCAGTTAATTGTTATATCTATGACAATAAGTATGTTATATATGTATATGTGTTTATGAGAAAGACAATAGCCGGACAATATACATACGAAGACGGATTATATAACATTATTATAATATATTATATCAAAACAAGAAAATCTAATGTATCAGATGACAGGCGTCTTTATTATGATACGTATATTTTTCATTGCTTATCAATTTTGCCATCGTCCATATAAAAAAAACCTGGTCAGCAAGGGCAAGCACTTACTTTAGTAGATACCTTGACAGGTTTTATATCGGTCAATGACTAATATACAAATGAGATAGAGAAAATAACAAAAGGCGATCTTACGCGTCTAAATATGTAGCTTATAACTCATCATTTTTAGTAAACTGTTTATCATAGTTTTTGATCAAGCTTTGTGATGTAACAATATTTCAGTTTTTTTGGGGGGGGTTAAGAATTTTTTTATATTTATTTTTGCGACATACTTTAAGCATGATATTAATAAAATTTTGCCTTAAGAGATACTACTGTTCACAAATTATCCAATGAAACTTTACATAGTCATACATACCATGATTTTTTTTTAATGCAAATAAAAATCAAATTAAGTTGTTAAGATATCTATATTATTGCAATGCAAATGCGCACGATTTCTTTGATCTATATCAATAATAGTGTATGTAACAGTGGTCAAAATTGATGTTTATGAAAAAATAACATCAAATTTACGACAAGATTTATATAATAAAATACACAAATTGGATGTATCTTTTAATTTTTTAATCATTTACAAAAGATACAAAAACAGCAATAAAATGATATAATGTCCACAAAACTGATCACTGTCTAAATGTTAAGTTCAGTTTTAATTAATTCAACCAAGATGTTAACAACATTTCTAAGAAATCAAATTCAAATAAATTTCAAGTTCCCTGTTTCAGTTCCAAATAAAATTGTCTTAAGTATAACGATTGTATATTCTCACGGAGAATACGTTTTATTTAACATTTAGTGCAACAATCCTTCCAAACGTTGCGTGTACATGCTGTGTTATATGTATATACAAGTCGAATAGTTTGTTTCAAACTCAGCCTATCAAACCCAACAGACCCAATCCGCCGACTGCTCTACCTACAGGATTTCCGAACCTCAACAGCGAGGCTGCTCCAAGAAACGCAAGTCCTCTACCTTGTCCCCATCTTGGTCCAAAACCCCCTCTCCAACCGTAACCTGGGTATCCGTCTATAATAACAATATTATATTGTCATGTATTTCCTAAATATTTTCAAACAAATTGCTTAATGATTTAATGCTCCTATTTGGTTGAGTATAAAGCAGCATATTTTACCTAATACCTTAAAGGCATTTACGCTTCAGTTTTAGCCAAAATTGATTTTGTTATATATTTTGTAAAATTTATCAAGCTTAAATAAAAGAAATCAAGTAATATGAGCCGTGTGACAGTATGTCTAGGACACTTTGGAAATTATGCAATAGGTCTTAAATCGATGACAAAATACATTTGATGTTCAAATGTCCGGTAATGCAAGACTTACGAAACATATACAACGCAAAAAAATCATTTTCTTGTTCCATTTTTATACAAGTTTATTATATTGTTAAGCAGCAGAAATGATATTTTAATGAAAACATAAGACAGATTCGTTCGTTTTCAAGCACTAGACAGAAAAAAACTTATTAAAACTTTAACAACACTTTGTTGGCAACTTACTTATATATCAAACTCATTATACGCATCGTTTTTATAACTGTGCAACTTATACATGTCATTTATACTTATCTTTTGTATTTATTGTGTACACACGAATTATGTTTCTATTGTACATTATGTTTGAATTGTACATTTATGTGCCAAGGGCCGGTGACTTATACAACAGAATAAATAAGTTTGAAGTTAAGAATTCCGAATCTACTTACATCGAAATTGTGCATTCGTAGAACATACAGATAACAGTAAGACGGTGAGACACAATGCTAATGCTGTTTTCATCTTTGCTTTTCCTGAAATATAAACATTTTAATCGAATAACATTCAGTGTTAAAATGAATGTATAAAAGGTAAAAGCATATATAGCAGAAAAAATCGTCACTAAGACCGTGTAGTAAAATGTATACGTTTAGGTTTTGATATTAAAACAAATCAGGAAGTCCTTGTCATAACATTATTATTGTTATTTGTATATATAATATAGTACTAGTTTGAATTTGACGTAGTTTTCGACCTTTCGGCTTCTTCTTTAGCGTCATTTATTATACATGCAAATATATTCAGATAAAAAAGGGAATTGACGTAACGTATCATTGTATGTATAATAAATTCATTTGTGTCCGAAAAAAAAATGAAAACTAAAAACATATAACCATTGAAAATTTTTATAATGCACCAGTGTGTAACTTATATAGCGATAAACTGCATCTTGTTATACGACGCTTGAACAGTGTTGAATAGTTGGATATCAATAGTTCCTTGCAATGCCGCATCAAGTATTGTTTGTGGTGACGTTTAATTTTGTAAAACATTTGTCCCAAACATACCCAAATTTTGACAATGGTTAATACCCATATAAAAACTTTAAAATCGGGACACTATAACACGCATAACATGGCAGTACAGTCGAATATGAACAGAAGTTAGAAATTATATCTACACAAATGTATCTGTAAAAATTAAACTTAAAAAATGTCTTCTTTTGTTAAATAAATGGTTTCGATGCTAAACACTCTAAAAACGATATTTCTGATCCTTATTTAAACAATACAAAAGATAAATTTTCAAAAATAAATACCTGTTAATCACTAAATTGAACGTTTACCTCAAATACTGGAAAAACATAATGAGGGCAGTTCAGAATGACAACATATTTATAACTATCAAATAATAGAAAAACTGTCTATATATAAAAAAGGGTCAAACATAATTTTAACATGTGTCGTTATGTTGTCAAGCAAGAAGGAAAACAGACATTTGTACGGTACCAATGACCAGTGACATGACTTGCGCTTATTGTTATAGGTTTTTGTGTACTTGTCTTAATTATCTATAATGTTTTTACATTTTACATTTTGACAGGTTGTCATAATATATACGACTACTTTATTAGAAACATTATATTCAATATGAATTGTTTATATCTGATAAAATGTTTACGATGTAAACAACATGTATATTAAACAAGGGTGATTTGTGTAGTTCACATTTATTGTTAGACTAGTTCAATATATGTAACTAATGTCTACCAAATTACAATCGTATAAACATGTTCTCATTAAAGTAAAGACTATTCAATATAGTGTTAAATATGAACATAACACAGCATTCGATTGAACTAGTGCAAATTTATTGGTTTCAATTGTTCTATTCTAAGTAAATTAAGTTATTCGGCTGTCGGCGGCAAGTTTTCTTTTCCTTAAAACAATAACCCGTTATCCGCCAATGTTTAATGTACATATTGTGTAGCTGTCGTACCGTCCTTATTTAATGATAATCAGAAAGATACAATGTTTTAATTTTAATATTTCCTAAGCAAAGTTCGTGCACTAAACCTATCCATGAGTGTCAACTTTTACATACAAAAATATTGGCGTTTGAAGACGTCGCACTCATTAAACTGTTATGTTGGTTTTTATGGCGCAACAACACAATTTAGGCAATCACGTAAGGATGAAAGTTGACTGCAATTCTGTTGCCTCAATCCTTAAAGGCAACCCTTCAGCCATAAGTGGGACCTATTTAACAAATAATGTATAAATATGAAAGTCTACCATGAACAGTGAATAAGATGAACTGCTTCACGATATGCTTGGCATTGGGGTGCCCTAAATAAATGTAGCTGCAGCACAGACGACAGAAGATACACCCGTGCGCAATACTCTGAAACTGAAAACTTATTTCTTTATAGAATTCAGGTTACATGTTCGAGCAAGCTAATGTGTGCCCATACATTTTAAAGGCTCATTTAAATTTATAGATCCACATTTTCAAATAATGTCCAACGAGGTCATCTGCACACGACAATATAATGGTCACCTGTAGATCATTCATTTACGTTCAGTAATTTCAATTGGCAGATAAAATAAAAAGAAAATGTATTGAAATATTCATGGTAGGAACCATTGGTAAGTTTCTTTAAGTAAACCCTAAATGTCGAATATTATCCTATAAGTAGGAGAGATTGGTTCAAAGGAAAACATATATATGAAGGTGGTTCTACTCAGGTGCCCGTTTGTGCCTGAAATAACGTATCGAGGGACAAGTAAAAATTGAAAGTCATCATTTGACCTTTATTTGACATTTACAGTGTTATTGTGACGAGAAAAAAACAACAAATATATGATCTTGTAAACTTTATGAAGATAATAAATATTCCTTCACCTACATAAAAAGGGTAAACTGTATAAGGACATACCTAGCAATACACCAATGCTGATATTGTAGAATTTTTACATAAACATTTCATAAGAAAACATAATGTTAAGATAAGATAATTGTTTAATATAGTGACATAAACATAACACAATCAAACAAAGAATTTGCACCAGACCCAATAAAATTTATTAGTCAACATTTATAGTAGATCTTATGACATCTGTGTATGAATATAGTATTTCAATATCTTCAAGTGAAAAAAATACAATGGTATGAAGTACCATTTTACTTTACACGCGATATCAAAGTATGCAAAATTGGCATTTACACTGTTAGATATAATGATAAATATAATAAATACAATATAGCAATGAACAGCTTTATGCCATTTATTGGCTTTTTTCATATTTCTAATAATTGTTTCCTTATCTGAATGCGCGCATATTATAGAATATTTTGAAAGACATCAGTGTTGTTATTTGCTATCCGCCCAAATTCATTAACGTCTTTTTCATAACTTCATATGGTTATAAAAGATAACAAATTGTTATTTAACTCTTAGTGTACGGTAACATTAGTTTTTTTTATCACAACAATTCACTAAGTTCTAACAGATTAAAAACGAGCAACTAATATAAGTTATAAGTGATATATAGATATTTGTTAAAGAATTCTATAATTCATCGATTATTGCATGTCTTTTTAAATTACCAACCATGACAGTGCTGTTTTCTTACAGTACATGTATCAGGCTGTTAACTGTTCTAGAAATTTTCTATAAATTTTTCCACGTTGTATTCGTCTTGATGTATTGCAAGTACTTTGCATACATTGATCAACTTCCGCTTTGTTTCGGTCGACGATGAACCAGATACACCTATATTTCCGAAAGGTCTTTCGTAAGGACCATATACTTTAAGAACTTTACGAAACTGTAAAAAGATGACTTCCTCATCTTCGATCATCTTGCATAATTTGCTTTTGAAGTGATCATCTGTCTGAAGATGTGAATGTAGAGACGGTATCAGCATAACACCCATCATCATTTTGTTTGCACACAGATCTGGAACTTTAGGTTTAATACTACAGGCAATCATCATTGAATATAGCATGATATCCACTCCATATAACTTCTTTAGCCAGCTGGTTAATACATACCCACCTGTTCTTGTATTTATTTCTAGCACCTTAGGTCCATAGTCTGTAAGCATCATATCCAAATTGAAGGTGCCATCTTTTAGACCTATTTAACACACTATATGTTAGATTTCTTTTTATAAAGCGGAATAATATTTTAATAGCATTGAGATTATCAACGATACACTTTATTACATGCATATCTGCAATATAGGTGAATATTCAGTAACTAGATTTAAGATGACAGATTAAATAGTAATGTCAGTTTAGTTGTAACATTTCTTCCAAAGATTTTCACATCAACCACGTGATGAAAACGTGTAAATTTCTTTATTACTTGCTCTTCTTGAAAAGTTAATTAGGAACCCAATTTTCTACATACCATTTACAATTAAAACATTACCTATTGCTAGACAGCATCGAAAAGCGGCATCTATAAGCATTGTTTGTTGCTCAGCACATAGGAATGTAGGAATACGCCTTGCCGTTGCTGTAAAACATGACATAAGTGTATTTTTGCGTTGACTTTATTAAAAACAATAAGCGGTTCATGCACTAGAACACGAAGATTTTCACATGTTGATTTTGTTTTTCAAAGACATTTACCTTCATGTGATCCTTTAACAAGAGCTCCGCTAAGGCTGGGCAATATACGCCTGATGGCAAGAAGGTACCATGGACACAAATGTGGCGTATGGCAAATTTACAAAAAAGGTATACCATGGACATAAATTAATGTGTCTTACAGAAAGATAGCAATTTCTTTTGAAAATGGCTTAGATAATGAATTGTTTAATCAATGTACAAGAAAAATATACTATATCTAATTCGATTGTAAGTAACAAGTAAACATATTATTAATAGAAGAAACTTGATTTCATTTGGATTAAAAGAAATCAAATAAATCATCGTTGCACTTAGCTGACTGCAGAGAAAAACAAACTTGAACTGTGTTTTTATATTACATACTTGCATGTCGAGTTTAAACACATTCGGCGAAATCATTTGGAAGTTATTCTGTGGAAAGAAACTATTTCACAGAAAATTTGCTGAAAAGGGGCAAAACTTTTTAAATAATAAGTCGATCGCACGAATATAACGTGTATTGTGATTAAATATACTTGCATGACAAATACATGTATTCACAGAAAATTAAGAGACATTACCCTATTACATGTATTAATAAGGACTTGATGCAGCGAAAATAGAAACTCACCTGTGTTTTGATATAACATAATGAAATGCCAAATATAAAGGCAATCACTAAATCCTTCATAAGTTATTCTGCGGAACCAGTAATTTCGCTTAAAATTTGCTTTTAAAGAGACATTACCTATCAATAATTTGTTGATTCCGTTTAGCGTACAGTTAAACGGACGTTGAGTCATTTGTTATTTTATTAACGTCATTTTTTCAGAAGAAGACATAAAGTTGAAACCTACAGAAAAGCGTTAGCTTTCGTTGAAATGATTATATGTATTGATTGCAGCTAAAATCGAACTACACCTGAGTATTGATATGACATAATGAAATATCAACTATAAATACAATTACTGGTATACTTCATAAGGTATGCTGCAGAAACCAGTAATTTCACTTAGATATGTTTCATGTATTAATAACAAATTGATTGCAGTCAAAATTGAACTTGACAAGAGTTTTAATATAACATAAAAGTTCGCTCATGCTTATTAAAATGAAAGTTTTTTTGAGACTGAAAAATACTGAAAACGTAGAATAATATAAATAATAATTATCAAAACTACACAGATACTAAGGTTTTTTTCTTGTTTGGATTCTTCTTGAACGGATTGGAGTAAAAACCATGGTAAATTATGTTTCTATCTAATGCGTTTGAAAAAGATGTGAATTCAAAATAAAATTTTCAACAACAAATAAATAAAATAAATTATTTTTGAGAGGGAGGCAGCTTATTTTGTATAATTAAGCATGCATTGTTTCAAATATATAATTTCTGTTTCATTAACAAATTAAGGAATTGTTCTACTATTTGTCTATATGAACTTAGTAACATTTGATCATCCGTGATATCAGTCAAGTTTTAACGGCCAAATACAATCTTCTCTAATAATCCAGGTGCATATGCATGTAGAAATGGCTAATTGCATATGTTTCGTAGAATTTGGAACTCCTGTTTCAAAAACACATCCTCAAAATTAAAAACAAAATGGCGGCAACAAAAGCGTAAGTTACATCTTAGGGTATTAATAATACTCGAAAAAGAAAGATACAACATAAAAATGAAAATCTGAAAGCGTCGCTATTAGACAAAGTTGAATCCACTCTTCTTTAAACGTTTTGACCCCAAGTAACATCTTCATATAAATAAGATCTTCCCGGTGGAACACCAAATGCTGTCTTTTATTGTGAATGAGCAACTTACATGCCAAATATAAACATTATCAATAAAATTCTTCAAAAATTATGCTGCGGAAACTATTTGTGTACCGTGGGATGGACAGACAAACGAACAACGCGATTCCTTATTACGTCCCGAGGGTCTTCAGACATATAAAAAGACCATCAAAGATCTACCTCTGAAAATCCCGAACCGCAGAATGCCAAGTGCAAGATATCTAAACATCGAAATGTCAAAAAAATGTAGAGTGTAAAAACATACTAATAACATGTATTTGAAATGTCTTGCTTGAATTAACAGTAATCTCTACTAGTATTTGGCGTTTGTCGCTGAATTATTCAGTACTAAGAGGAAAAGAAATCACCAATAAAGTAAGGCCGCCTGACAACACCACTATCAGAGATAAATGCGCAAATTAGCTTTCCATCATATACAATAAGGTCAATAATATGCTCTGTGCCACAGTGGAACTCCATTGTTGTCAATGAGTTGCCAAAGCATAAACCAATGCCTTGAAAGTCGGAATCATTCCGAAGAGTGCTCGTAATCTGTTGGAATTTACTTTTCATGGCAGCTCTGCTTTCAACAATACAGGTACCGATAGCTGATGCTCCATTGTCTAACTTCAGTATTGCAGGAAACTTAAAGCTTAAACAAGAAATGAATTGAATCAACTACACGGGATATTCCTGTACTTCAAACAGACGAGATTTAAAAGGATATTAAAAACGCATGTCATGAACAGTTTGCATTTCACATGAACTTGTATTGGCTACATATCATATTGAATGGTTGCTTATGTTAAGAGTAAATATATTATTAAATAACTTTTATTGCTAAAACTTATGATACATTCATACAGTAATGCTAGTATCATGGTGGTGATATAAGCTGAATGACATTCATGCCGCAAAAAATACTTGTTTTCGAAGACTCTTAGTGTTTTTGAAATACAACTAAATCTAAATACTATTTATTATAGTAGTAATTATTCTAAATTCAACCATTCATCAACTTTGATTTTTACCTATGTGGCAACAACTTGCAGTCTTCTTCTTTAGTGAGATGATAAGATTTTGTAGAAAAAGTCTTAGTCTGATACTTGTCAACATATAGACCCAAAATGTGGTGCGTTTCCGTTTTTGAATTGGCGATCATCGCCGCTTTGTAACTCATCCCTAGATTTCAAAAATAAAGTGCACGCTCTATCACATGAACATTACATTGACCTCGCAAACATAATACATATAGCTAAAAAGCGAAAAATGTAGTCTAATTAAAGAATCAAGTCATTCCTAAGAAAGACAATTAATGTAAGCATCTTTACTAAGGAAATACCTAACTAAATGAATATACCTTTTAATCCTAATTGGTCACATATCAAGGCTGTTAAAGGTGTACACTCGTCGTAAAAAGTGACACAACCATCTGCCACGATTCCTTGATCTTGTATGAGTTGAATGATTTTGCACGCATGCGCATGGTCCATCGTGTGATGAGAAAAATCGTAACGTATGTAGCAATGGACAATATCTCTTGATGGATGATTGTCTTCGATGTCCACAAGAATGACCTGAATAAAGATTAAGATTCAGTGGCTCATATATAACGCTTACAAGAAAGGGCGTATTTTAGGAGTTTTTTAAGGCTCAAATACACGTACTGTTGCTCGTCGTTGTTTTGGTTTACGCAAGGTTTAATTGAAACCTTATTTATTTTCAAGTTAAAGTTTTTGTATTATTATCTTTACCACATGATTTTTAAATTGCGCGGTATACGAGATATTTACTTTATTTTCCTCTTTTATGTGTAGTTTTCGTATATTAACAATATGAGCTGCGTCATGACAAAACCAACATAATGCATTTGCGACAAGCATGGATCCAGACCAGCCTGCGCATCCGCACAGTTTGATCAGGATCCATGCTGTTCGCTTTCAATTTCTCTACTTGTAATTGGGTTGGTAAGCGAACAGCATGGATCCTGATCAGGCTGTGCTGGTCTGAATCCATGCTGATCGCAAACGCACTTTGTTGGTTTTGTCGTGACGCGGCTCATATCTGTCATGCAAATCTCTTACCTTAATGCCATAACTTGCCGCTCCCGGCCATTTGCTCCAAGATCTGTATGAACCTCCCCCTATAACTATTACTTGCTTCCCAACCATCACATCATTTTGAGTATTTATAACCCTTGCCTTTTGTTCTACTGGTATAAGAAAACATAAATTTAACCTACACATTTTTGATGATAATAAGTCATACTTTGACTTCTTAAGCAGACGAGACAAATCCGACAGAAGCAGTTATATTTTGGCTTGCAAAACCTAAAATGATAAGCTGTGTTTGCAACATAGGATCAAGAATGGCTCGATGGCATGATGTTCATTTGTAACATAGGGTATCTAATTACACTTAAAGCGGAAGAGTAAAACAATTTGTTAAAATAATATTTCTTTTACTATCTAGATTTTAGGCTATTGCCCTTATGGGTGTGTATTTGGTCAGAATTTTTTAACTTGCATTCAAATGTCATTAATTTCATTTTCGTTTTTTAACACAATGTGTTGCGAATAACTTTTGCTGAACAAAAACAATCGTGCAGAATTTATTGACACGGTTTAGCCGACCCATACAATCGTGTAGATTTTTTCGCGTTTGCATGTATTGACATATTTCAGGGAGAAATCATATTTAAAGGTATATAATGGACCATATACTATATGGCTACTAACCTCCTTTGGTTTTTGACAGAATGTCTAACGTTATTCCCTCTGTTAGACTGGCTTTGTTCATCTGAAATTACATGTAATACATTGGCAAAAATAATGTGTGTAGCAATTCAATATGGAATATATAATATATATGGTTACACAATGGATGCAAGAAGAGACGGTGTCGCCAATCAAAGTCATATCGTCTGATAATATCCTGGGCAGATCAAACATATTATTCATATAAAGCACCAGTATGTAGATAAGGTCTAGATCTAATACAGTATAAAATGATTGCTTTATATTCATTCATGCATCATCAAACAGCAATTAAAAACTTTCGCCACTTTAAACAAACTTGTATTTATGCACATGTGGTTTATAAACATGGTTGAATTTTAGATCATGGCTATTTTCCTATAGCTTCTAGTAAAGCATAAAAAGCGGTTATTACTCATCTATAATGAAACTACTGCATAATGCACCTGCTGTGTCTTTGTATCTCACTTTGTGAGTTGTCAACGGTTCTTACCCATGAATGTCATTTTGGTCAATTAATAACCCAAACACCCTTATACCTGAAATTCCCGTTTCAGTCAAGACGCTTAATCAAATATCTCTGTTTATGTCCTACGATTGTACAAATTGAATTTTCAGTTATTAACAGTTATGTGTACGCAATATCCTTGCCCGCACTAGTGCCCTTTCTGTGTTGAGTTTATTACGCTGCTGACTACCTAATCAATGGTCTTGTGCGGCAAGAGAATTGTTTTTGGGCTGCGTTCTGTGAACGTTGTTTTCCCTTTTGATATATCAATATCATTTTACATTCATATCCATTCATTATATACCTCAAAGATTTTTTTATAAAGTGTCTAGTCCTTGTTAAGAGATCTGCAGTAGAAATATGATAATCAATACAGCAAAGTCAGTCATTATTTGCACAGAGCATGTAAATTATAACTTGAAGCTATTACCTTTTATTAAGAACTTAGTACTTTTTCTTAAGTTTGATTTTTATAAAATATTTTGGCTCATCTGGAGGCATGCTGTTTTGATAGAAAATAATTTACATTGAAACATTTATAATTGAAGTAGATTCGTGTATATTTTATGAAACTTTTCAACTTTCATGTCAATAAGAAAAAGACGTTGATTTTTGTTTTCAAGTTTCTTTATTTTTGATATGCATAGAATTTCGCAAAGTTTGCGCGAACGTGTCATTATTATGCTTAATGCTGATGTGACGATGAATGCCGTCGCTATGAATATTGGATGCTCGTGCTATTCGATACCTTAGAAAACGTTTTCAAGCAATAGGGCGTAAGAAGATCGGCCTCGTAGTGGACGTTTGCGCGTCACGACGCGTGCCCAAGACCGCTATATTCGGAACACCTACCTGCGCAATTGGTTCCAAACTTCCCCGGCTACTGTTGCTCACACCCATAGTGCACACAACAACAGTATACCGTATACCATTTACTAAAACAGTGTACAATCGGTTGCGCGAGGGAGGGCTACATCGACGTTGAAAGTACGTTGGTTGTGTTATGAGGTGACGTCACCTCGTAAATCGTGTTTATTGGTTACGTACACACCAACACTTGCTTAAACAACAATGGAATTGCGTTCTATTTTCTTATGTGTCCTGGTTTTCCATTCATCGAGTTGAATGGTTGGGTTCGAGTATACCATAGGAGAAACAAACGATTTTTCCTCTAAAGTGTCTACTTTTCTTGTAAAACAAAGTTTGGTTTCTCTATAGTATATAAAGATCGATAATAGGGACTTCTAACTCACGTTACTAATGTGACTGAAAACATCAAAGAAAATAGAATAAAAAATACCAAACTAATGAAAGCGATTGAAAACAAAATAGCAGAGGTCGATTATTTTACGATAATTTTATCATGAATGAAAAATAAAATTAGTGAAAAGCTATTAAGGTAAAGATTCGTAATCTACTTACAAATATAAAAACCGGTACATATCAATACATTTTCTGATTCTATTAAGATAAAAATTATAATGTACTTTACAATAACCTTTCAAACTGTCCAAATATAAATTTCCAAAACTATTTATTATTGTTTTCAGAAAACATAGACAAAACCTGGAAATTGTTACGTCAAATTACGTCATAAATGATAGTTTAAATAATTCATACAATAGAAAGTCTTGTGCCTTACCTTTATGTGTGACGATTTATAGAGGAAAACATATATTGTCACATATAATAATTATCTTTGAATTATTTCCTACTCAAAAACAAAATTATTTTCTAATGAAATTGAATATTCCGTGACATTACATTTTCGAGCAATATTGTTAATATAATACATGTAATATATTGTTTAATGTTCACATCTGTTATACCACTTGTTATATATATACTATTATATATTTTCTACTAACAATCTGTTTAAATGCTAAAATTCAGGGCTATAAAAATTAATCTCAATATGTTCACAGAACAATACAATGCAAGCATTGAAAGTATGAGAACAGCAGCAGATGTTTCATTACAATGTATCATAATTATAAACATGTCATCATTAAATTAAAATACTAATCAATATATAGTGTTACAAATGGCCAGATTTTTGTTTAGTAGACAATATTCTATTGAACTAGTGCAAATTTAGTTTCCAATGTTCTATTCTGCTATTCTAAGTGAATTCAGATATTCGGCTGTAAGTGAATTAAGATATGCGGCTGTCGACGGACATGTTTTCTTTTTCCTTAAAACAATAACCCATTATTCGCCGATGTTTAATGTTAACAACATGTATATTAAACACGTGTGATTTGTGTAGTTCAATGATACTCATGAATGGTTAGACTAGTTCAATATATGTAACAAGTGTCTACCACATAACTAGCATATAAATGTCGAATATTATCTTACAAGTACGTGAGACCGGTGCAAAATGAAACACTGTCTTTTATATGAAAGCGAATATTGATGTTGACTGTTTATGTTCCAATTGCTTCTGGAAATGTATCTATCATTACACTAAAATGTTAAAGTATAAAGTGTCACATTGTCATCATTTGGTCTCGAAACACTATTATCGCATTTTATAGATCACCTACATAAAAAGGGCAAACTGAATACGGACATACTTCGCAACAAATTAATGTTGATATTGTAGAAAATTTAGATAAAATTTTAATCAGAAAACATAAGACAAGATAAATAATAGATATACCATTGTTGCGTTGACGATTTCTGGGTTTGCGTAAATTATACCATAATCACGTGACCTTTCTTATGCCTTAACTTCGTCTCGTGAGGTTGCATAAGAAAGACCCAGAAATCGTCAACGCACCAATGGTGTATCTGTTTTAACCTATAGCTCCGCCCAGAAACACTTACTCCTTCGATCTTCAAAACTGAAAATTATACAATAGTCTGGGTAAGGTATAATTTACGGTTATTGGAAATTTTACTTGGAAGAATTTTACATAAGAAGCGCTGAAGTGCTATTGGTTAATTGTTTATAATAGTGACATAAGATAAGATAATTGTTTATTATAGTGACATAAGATAAATGTTAATTATGGTGACATATAAGATGAGATAATTGTTTATTGTAGTGACAAAAGATAAGATAACTGTTTATTACAGTGACATAAGATAAGATAATTGTTTATTATAGTGACATAAGATAAGATAAATGTTTATTATGGTGACATTAGATTAGATAATTGTTTATTATAGTGACAAAAAGATAAGATAATTTTTTATTGTAGTGACATTAGATAAGATAATTGTTTATTGTAGTGACATGCGATAAGATAATTGTTTATCATAGTGACATTAGATAAGATTATTGTTTACTATAGTAACATAAGATAAGATAATTGTTTATTATAGTGACAAAATATAAGATAATCTTTTATGATAGTGACATTAGATGAGATCATTGTTTATTATAGTGACAAAAGTTAAGATAATTGTTTTATTATAGTGACATTAGATAATTGTTTATAATCCCCGCTAAAAAGGCGGCGAGGGATATAGAAATAGTCTCCGTCCGTCCGCTCTTCCGACCTTCCGTCCGACATTTTTGTCTTGTCTGGAGCATATCTCAAAAAGTATTTGAGGTATCAACTTGAATCTTCATAGGTGGATAGACTTTATTGAGGTGGAGAGCAGTGCACAAAAATGATAACTCTACCCTGCATTATTTATGAGTTACTGCCCTTTGTTATTTTTCCGAATTAATTTTTGTCCAGAGCATAACTCAAAAAGCCTTTGAGATATCAACATGAAACTTCATAGGTGCATAGATCTCACTCAGGAGGTCAATCTCCGACGCAGTGATCACCCCTTACAGGATTAGATCTCTGCCATCAAACATTTTAGTCAAGATTTTTTTCGACGATATGATTTTTTCAATTTTTATATTTATTTTGAAAGGTAAACACGGTTTTGTTAATGTTTCAAGACAGTTAGGTGTTAGATGTGAACTAAAATAAAGAATTATTTTGGAAACATAACTATTATGAAAATAATTTTAAACAATTTTAATACCGCACCGTTAATTTCAAAAACACTGGCCCCTCTCGAAAAAGAAATCATTTAAGTAATTATTAATTTCGACTATACGCTTTACAAAAATGATTTTTATCAAATCGACATATTTGAGACCAGAGTTCAAGTTTTTATGTCGCTGTTTATTACAGATAAAACATTTTTTCAACGATTTCATTGGCGTATACGCCATTTTTCACAGTCATGTGATAAGACCATCATCACGTGATTTGTGTGAAGGCAGAAGTTACTGGCCGTAGCGTAACCGGTGCGCAGAGTTTGTCGGGAGGTGTGCAGTGCACAAGAATGATAACTCTACCTTTCATAATTTTTGAGTTATTGCCCTTTGTTATTTTTCTTATCTATTTTTTCACCTGAGTGGAGCATCACTCAAAATTGTTTGAGATGTCATCATGAAATGTCATAGGTGGATAGATCTCATGGCGGAGGAATGCTGTGCACAAGAATGATAACTCTTTCCTAAACAATTTTTGAGTTATTGCCCTTTGTTCTTTTTTCATATGTTTTGTCGGGAGCTTTTCTCAAAAAGTATTTGAGGTATCAACTTGAAACTTCATAGGTGGATTGATCTCATATGGTAAAGTGCAGTGCACAAGAATGATAACTCTACACTGCATGATTTTTTAGTTATTGCCCTTTGTTCTTTTTTCATATATTTTGTCGGGAGCTTATCTCAAAAAGAAATTGAGGTATCAACTTGAAACTTCATAGGTGGATTGATCTCATATGGTGGAGTGCAGTGCACAAAAATGATAACTCTACACTGCACGATTTTTTAGTTATTGCCCTTTGTTATTTTTCAAATTATTTTTTGTCCAGAGAATAACTCAAAAAGCCTTTGAGATATCAACATGAAACTTCATAGGTGCATAGATCTCACTCAGGAGGTGTGCAGTGTACAAGAATGATATCTCAACCATAGGTTTCAAATCTGTTATCACTTTAGCCATCAGTTTTTATTACCAACGGACCTCTTTAAATTGATTTATTCTGCTCTACTACATATACATTCTTCCAATGAGCAAAGGATGGCCATGTTGACCGCTCAAGCCGGTGCTAGGGGGCGTGAGGGATGTTGCACTTATACATAATCCCTCATGTACAGACTCAATCAAACCGAGTCTGCAATTCTTATGTTATTTTGTTGTGATTAATGCTTCCGAAGGATCACTTTGTTTCCAGAATTTTGTACTTCACAACAGCAGGTGTCAAGTGCCGTGTGGCAGCCGTAAAAAGTTGCCCCGTACTTCACTTCAGTGTTGTTATATTTTCTGGTCCTTCGGGATCATTGATGCCAACACTATAAAGTGTTGAGAATTGAGTACCGCTCAAGCCGGTGCTAGGGGGCGTGAGGGATGTTGCACTTATACATAATCCCTCATGTACAGACTCAATCAAACCGAGTCTGCAATTCTTATGTTATTTTGTTGTGATTAATGCTTCCGAAGGATCACTTTGTTTCCAGAATTTTGGCTCTTGTTATAGTGACAGTAGATAAGATAATTGTTGTTTATAGTGAGCAATAAACATAAAACAATGCAACAAAGACCAAATAAAACCTATAAGACAATATTTATAGTAGATCCAGTGACCTCTTTTTATAAATATGATATTTTAATATTTTCCAGTGAGTAGATCAAGAAAGTACCTTGTAACACACATGATATCAAAATATGCAAAATTTGGTCTTTACGTTCTACGTCACAGGATAAAAACATAATGTTTTGTCCTCATCACTCATTTGAATGTGCGGCTCAGATTAAAGAATATTATGAAGGAGAACAACATGAACTTACCAAAAAAAAAGATTAAAGATAACAAATGATTATTGGAATTCTTAGTAGATTGTTATTTTAACCGTTATCACAACAAATCACTAAGTTCCAACAAATTTAAATCGTGCTACATATATAAGTTGAAATGTTTATAGAAATCTGTAAAAGTTCAAGAATACTATTATTCATCGATTATTGAATGTCTTATGATAGCATGAATGTCCTCTGAAAGTACATGTATCACATTGTTAACTGTTCTAGAAATTTTCTATAAATTTTTCCACGTTGTATTCGTCTTGATGTATTGCAAGTACTTTGCATACATTGATCAACTTCCGCTTTGTTTCGGTCGACGATGAACCAGATACACCTATATTTCCGAAAGGTCTTTCGTAAGGACCATATACTTTAAGAACTTTACGAAACTGTAAAAAGATGACTTCCTCATCTTCGATCATCTTGCAATAATTTGCTTTTGAAGTGATCATCTGTCTGAAGATGTGAATGTAGAGACGGTATCAGCATAACACCATCATCATTTTGTTTGCAACACAGATCTGGAACTTTAGGTTTAATACTACAGGCAATCATCATTGAATATAGCATGATATCCACTCCATATAACTTCTTTAGCCAGTTGGTTAATACATACCCACTTGTTCTTGTATTTATTTCTAAAACCTTAGGTCCATAGTCTGTAAGCATCATATCCACATTGAAGGTGCCATCTTTTAGACCTATTTAACACATAATAGATTAAGATTTCGTTTTACCCAGTCATGTATAAAATGTGTATAATATTTTAATAACATTGACATTACCAACGATACACTTTATTACATGGTGAATACAGTATCTAGATTTTGATGACAGATTAAATAGTAATGTCAGTTTAGGTGTAACATTTCTTCCAAAGATTTTCACATCAACCACGTGCTGAAAACGTTAATTTCTTAATTACATGCTCTTCTTGAAAAGTCAATTAGAAAACCCAATTTTCTACATACAATTTACAATTAAAACATTACCTATTGCTAGACAGCATCGAAAAGCGGCATCTATAAGCATCGTTTGTTGCTCAGCACATAGGAATGTTGGAATACGCTTTGCAGTTGCTGTAAAACATGACATACGTGTATTTTTGCGAAGCAGTTCTAAATTCATCTCCATTATTACATGTCACGTATGTTTCATTAATTCAAATATAAGTAAAGATTTAGAAAACATTGTTATTTTTGCAACATTATTTATTTTTTGTTTATTATTGCAGCAGTTTGTTGCCCTGAATTTACTTTATATTTATAATATTTCTCTAAAAAAATCTGGTAACATATGTTTCTGTGCCGTGTGTTTCAATTTAACATTGAAAAAGTGGGTTGAAAAAATAAAGCTAGGGCATGTATCGCGCTATAATACGTGGTTAATATAAATAATAATAATCAGAACTACTCATATATTAAAGTTTTTATCTTGTTTGGATTCTTCTTGAACGGATTAGAGTTGAAACAATGATAATTTAGAGGGAGGCAGCTTATTTTGTATAATTAAACATGCATTGTTTCAAATATATAATTTCTGTTTCGCCCACAAATTTAGGAATTGTTTTACCATTTCTTAATATGATCTTGGTAGCATTTGATCATCCGTGATACAATTTTCACTAATAATAAAAGTGCATATGCATGAAGACATGACTAATTGCAGATGTTTCGTTTATTTTGGAACTCCTGTTTTAACAATACATGTACATCCTCAAAATTAAAAAAAAATGGTGGCGACAGTAGCGTATGTTAAATTTCAGGGTATTAATAGTACTCGAAAAAGAAAGATACAAGATTAAAATGAAAAACTGAAAGTATCGCTATTAGACAAAGTGGCAGCCATTATTCTTAAAACGTTTTGACCCCAAGAAACACCTTCATATAAATAAAATCCACCCAGTGGAACACCAAATGCCGTGTTTTGTTGTGAATGATCAACTTACATGCCAAATATAAACATTATCAATAAATTCTTCAGACGTTATGCTGCGGAAACTATTTGTGTACCGCCGGAGAGACAGACAAACGAACAACGCAATTTCTTTATACGTCCCAAGGGTCTTCAGACATGTTTTTTTAATAAAAAACATCAAAGATCTATCTCTGAAAAACCCAAACCGCAGAATGCCAAGTGCAAGATATCAAAACATCTAAATGTCAAAAAAAAGGAAAAGTGTAAAAACATATATTTGAAATGTCTTGCTTGAATTAACAATAACCTCAGACTAGTATTTGGTGTTTGTCGATGAACTATTCAGTACTCAGAGAAAAAGAAATTACCAATAAAGTAAGGCCGCCTGACAACACCACTATCAGAGATAAATGCGCAAATAAGCTTTCCATCATATACAAAAAGGCCAATATTATGCTCTGTGCCACAGTGGAACTCCATTGTTGTCAATGAGTTGCCAAAGCATAAACCAATGCCTTGAAAGTCGGAATCATTACGAAGAGTGCTCGTAATCTGTTGGAATTTACTTTTCATGGCAGCTCTGCTTTCAACAATACAGGTACCGATAGCTGATGCTCCATTGTCTAACTTCAGTATTGCAGGAAACTTAAAGCTTAAACAAGAAATTAATTTAATCATCTACACGGGATATTCCTTTACTTCAAACAGACGAGATTTAAAGGGATATTAAAGACGCATGTCATGAACAGTTTGCATTACACATGAACTTGTATTGGTTGCATATCATATTAAATGGTTGCTTATGTTAAGACGTAATACATAATTCAATAACTATTATTGCTAAAAATTATGATACATTCATACAGTAATGCTAGTATCATGGTGGTGATATAAGCTGAATGACATTCATGTCGCAAAAATACTTGTTTTCGAAGAATCTTAGTGTCTTTGAAATACAACTAAATCTAAATACTATTTATTATACTAATAATTATTCAAAAATCAACCATTCATCAACTTTGATTTTTACCTTTGTGGCAACAACTTGCAGTCTTCTTCTTTAGTGAGATGATAAGATTTTGTAGAAAAGCCTTGGTCTGATACTTGTCAACATATAGACCCAAAATGTGGTGCGTTTCCGTTTTTGAATTGGCGATCATCGCGGCTTTGTAACTCATCCCTAGATTTCAAAAATAAAGTGAACGCGCGATCACATGAACATTACATTGACATCGCAACATAATACTGTCAGGGTCCAGTGGGCCGGCACTAAGAAATAACTTCAAATATGGTTCGAATCCTAGTCCATGCAAGGCGTCTTAAGCATCAAGCTTAAGGAGCCAGACCCAATACCCTACTAACCTAAATATGATAAATGAGAGACATGAGGGATGAAGTAAAAGCCATATCATGTTAAGTTTCAAACAATATAATTTGAAAAATATCTTTCAAAAAAAAAAATGTGTACATATAAATTTCATAAATCGTTTATATCTGTTACTGTAATCTGTGACTTCTTATAGACTCAGCTTCATATATTGTTTGGTCAAGATCTAGGTCATCATTATACTGGATAAAATATATATATAAGCCAATAGATAAGCATAACTCATCTAAACTGCGCAGACATGAGAGTGTGATGAGTAAAATACTCATATATCACTGCTCGAAATAAGCACATGGAAAAGAGAGTGAGATGAGATATATAAACTCATATACCACTGCTCTTACACTAAAAGCCATGCAGAGACATACACAGTGAGAGTGAGATAAGTGAGACACTTATATACCACTTGCTCACACATTAAAAGCAACTTTAAGCAGGAACACAAGCATAAATCTCTTCTTGATTTCAGTAAATCAAATATAAACATTTTCAAGTAGACTTATAAATTACAGGAAGGACTGAGACATGAGCATAACTCATGAATGATTTCCATTCCAAAAACCCTAATATATATTTAAATGAAAAAATATCTCTTCTAATACAGCTTATGAAGTTTTATCAAATTTTCAGCATGAACATCAACTGAACTGTCAAACTGTAAAAGATTTCTTGACTAAAATGGCTTCTTGTCCAACTCGTTCCTTTCTGCATGTACATTCTTCTCTCTATCTCCATGAAAAAAATATAACACGTGCAACATGTAAACAATAACAAACGTCATCCACGCCCTGGATTCTGATTGGTCAGCCGCATCACACACAAAAATAGTTCCTAATTGAGATCAAAACTTCTAAGAAAATATGAAGGTTATCGGCCATCTTTAGCGTCCGTCAGCATCTTCTTCTATAACAAAAATAAAAATGAACAAGAAACAACTTAACTGAACCATGGAACTTCCAACTGGTGAATCCAAACATCGAACGCCATCCTTACTTTCACTTTCGTCTGTATCCGGTTACACAGGCAGTCAAGAAACAACAAAAATCTGTCTGAAAATTCTAGAAATCACTCTCGTGGATTAACCTTAACAAATTTTAGGCGTGCAAGAGGTCGATCAAGGGCGCGCTCGAGCTTATATATCATACGATGCTGGAATTGCAGGAAAGCTCTGCAGGAATCGTTGGAAACTGGAAGGTCGCTGTTCCGCCATTCCTCGATAAAATTTCAATGAGCCAAATCTAAATTAAACTTGCATGTACATTACTCAAAGACCATGTCGCTGTATCTAAAATAAATCTTCCTACATATTTATAGCAAAAATAACAATAGACAATGTATGAAATAATATTTATAGCCTGCAAGATAAGTTTTACCGATTCCCGGAAGGGGTATTTAATTAACGGAATGTCGTAAACTCCGACAATTTCAACCAAGACACCCGCAAATCTTACGAAGAGCGATGAATCTTAATTACACAGAAAAAGAATTTCTAAGGGTGATTGACAGTGTAAAATTCCCCGGTATCTTAAATGATGGTAATTTGATTAAATTAAAACCCTGTATTTAATGTAAAAACCAAAAAAATTATATTGGGGGCTGACAGTTGATGCCATTTTTTCGGATGGGCCCGGATTGGACTTTTTAAAGTAGTTATCAAAATTTTCATTTTCGTCTTTTTTGATCATATGGGCCCCCCATTACCCCCCCCTAGAAATGTTTATTATACCTTTTAAAACAAAAATTTATAAATATTTAAAACAATAATAAAAGCAGATTTATAATTTATTTTTCCCCTTTTAAAAATTCTGAAAATTTCAAAGCCTCGACCTCGATCGGTCCCCCTCCCCTGCGTCTTTCCTCCTCCCCTCCTCTGCTTTCCCGTCCCCCCTCACTGAACACACCATATCGTACATTTGTTTGTCTTTGGGTGTTAACTGTTTTAAAGTTTATTTTTTGTTTATCAAAAACTTTTAATGCTTTTAAAATCCCCCCCTTGTCCAACCCCCTCCGTCTGTTTTGATTTTTCCTCCCTTCCTTAAAAAAATTCCCCCGTTTCCTGTTTTAAGTTTCCAAAAATCTCCTCCTCATTGGGGGCTTTTTACACCACCTTAAAGTAGGCTTTTTCGACTCTTCCCCCTTGGGGAACAACTTCAACATAGCATGCCATCTGTTAACAAAAAAGCAAAAAAAAACTAAGCCCCTCAAAAAAAAAAGAAATTTTTTTCCCGACCTTTACCCCTTTACCACTTCCTTTAAATTTTTCCCGCTTTAATGACCCCCTTTTGGGACCTTTCCCCTAATAAAGGGTTTTAAATTATGTGATGAACTGTACCCCTTCTGAATCTTGTATCTTGATCATATAGTTAAGACTGTTACACGCTTTGTAATTACACAGAGCTTGTATAATTTTTGCAATTTAGGACACACCCCAGGGAACCTAGATTCATGAAAGTACCATGCATAGTCTCCTAATCTTGTATTTATTTTCTGAAAGTTTAACATCGTAGCTGTACTTGTTTCGAAGTGATGCCTTACCAAGATTTCTGTCTAGCTAACTGATGTGCCACATACATTCTCTGGCGCAAATTTTCTGCATACTCACCATAAGATGTTGCAGACTTACCATCGTCATAAATGTTTCTTGACAATTCTGCTGGGATTCGAACCTGACGACCTAGCATTAACATGTTTGGAGTCATACCAGTAGAGCTATGTGGGGGTAGCCCTATATCAGCAGCAAGACATCCTAAGTTTAAGTCCCCAATCTGTTTTGTTCCCCTTTAAGATAAGCTTTAATCATGCGAACTAGTACGGATTAAAACCCCACTTGAACCTTACATTTTTTGGTTCTTGACCCAAGTTGAGCTTTTCGGAACCTCCATTTTAAAAAACAAAATTCGCAAAATTTTCTCTCCAAATTACTCCCAAAGGGATATGTAAGGAAAAATTGGGGACCCCTTTTGAAATAAAAATTTTAAAAAAACTTAGTGTTCTTGGTGTCTGGTGGGAAACAAATATTCAACAATTTTTAAAAAAGAAATTTAACAAAATAAAATAAACTGTTGTCGAGGGTCAAAGGGGAAAAGGGCCCAAATATCTGTAGTTTAAACATTCCATAATCCCTCCCAGTAAAAATTTCCCCAAAAGGGGCTTTAGTTTCCCCGGTGGAGTTTTTGATTCCAAAATATCACCTTTATACCCATTGTTTGCATCTTTCCTTCATTTCAAACCAATAATACTTCATTTTTAATTTCTGATAGGTCTTTTTTACACCCAAATGTCCACCTAAAACTGCACCATGAACTTCATGTAAGACTTCATTCTTCAAAAGCCCCTAGGAACTAAAATTTGCAATACAGGTTCGCTACCATTCTTAGGACAAAATTGCTTATAGAGTATACCATCAATAATCTCTAGTGAAGCCCACAGCAACCAATAATGTTTAGTTGCTGGTCCAGTAATTGATATCTCTTTTAAAGGTGGTCTTTCAGTAGGTTTAAAATCTTAGCATCATATATATAGGTTTGATATCTACATCAGTAGCCTGTAGATTTACAATATCTGTGTTTGACCTTTGTTGAAGAATTGTACCTTTGTTCATAACATGTAAACTTGAACTTGCTTGACCCCCTGCTAAGTCTGAACTCTCACCTATTTTACCTGTGACCCCTTTGAACTTTTCGCCTTCGATCCTCTATGAACTACTGCCCTAAATGTTTTATGTAATAATTTTTCCAGCAAAAAGATCCTGTATTAACAAAACATTTAAAAACCCTTGAGTTTTCAAACCTTGCCCCCTTTTGAGATTTTTATCATCTTTACCATGGCTGCCCGGGTGGTCTCAAAGAAAATTTACCCCGTTTTATCACCATCCAAATTACCCTATATGTATTTGCCCCTATCATGGGCCCCATGTATACATTTTGTTTGGGCCCCCATAGTAACCCTTTTCCCCTTTTACTGTTTTTAATATCCCGTATGCGCCCCCCGACGGGGTTTACAAAATTTTGTCGCGCGACGGCACCCGACCCTGCCTTTACCCATTAACTGCTTCTTTAAAAAAACATTTTTGATTTCATTTTGTATCTTTTCACACTTCTTACACGGACCAATTAAAGGCTCCCAAATTCATCAAATAAATTACACTGCATCCCCAAGGCTTTCACACATTAGACATACAATCTGCATTTGAAAAGCTTTTTACCCGAAAAGATTTCATGATTAAAAGTCCATAGATGATAATATTTAAGGTCCTCGCTGCCCACCCCTTTTGGGTTCTTTGAGAAAAAACGATACACCCAATCTTTATGGGTCTGTTCTTACTATAAATTTCCGTCCAAGTATATTGTCTGTAGTATTAAAAAATAATCTCAGAGTGGGTTCTTTGTCAGTCCGCAATATTTTTCTCAGATTTAGTCAATATTTTTCTTCATAATTAATTACTCGCTCTACACCATTCTTGAAAATTTGCTAGCAACCCCGCCCCCCCCGAAAAATACTTGCGTCGCAATCAGTATTTTTCACCATCTTTCATAGGGTAAAACCAGATCCCAGGACTAAACAAACATTCTTCAAGCCTTGTAGACTTGTCTCACATTCTTTAGTCCATTCAAATTTCTTACCTTTCTTTGTAAGGTCAATCAAGGGCTTCATCAACTGGGAATAGTTTTTGATATGACGTCTGTAGTAGGATCCCATACCAAGAAGAGCTCGAACCTGTGTGACAGTTTCTGGAGTACTGAATTCCAAAATTTTACTTACATTTCTTACAGAAGGGAGAACACCATCAGCTGAAATTGTATGTCCAAGAAATTCAACTGAATCTTGAAATATTTGACATTTATCTGGCTTCAATTTAAGACCAGCTTGCTTTATTCTAGCTAACACAGCATTAACTCGTTTTAAGTGATCATCAAAGGTACTTGCATACACAATAATGTCATCTAGATATATCAAACAAGTTGTCCACTGAAGTCCATTGAGAGCTGCCTCTATACAACGTTGAAATGTTGCACTTGAATTTTTCATCCCCATAGGCATAGTTAAATGTTCATACAACCCATATTTTGTAACAAATGCTGTTTTAGGAATATCTTTTTCCCTTACAGGTATCTGATGATAAGAACTTGTAATATCAAAAGTTGAGAATAGTGTTGCACCTGCTACAGCATCAAGACAATCTCTAGTTCTTGGTATAGGATAGCTGTCAGACTTGGTTACCTTATTAAGTGCACGGTAGTCAATACATGGTCGAACTTTTCCATCCTTCTTGAATACCAGACATAATGGACTGGCCCAAGGGCTTTTAGACTTTCTAATTATACCTTGTTTTTCCATTTTCTCCAAGATCTTCCGTTCTTTCATCAGCAAATGCAATTGGGACTCTTCTTGGTGGTACCCTGATTGGTCTTGAATCTCCTGTTTCAATTTCATGCACGGCAAAATCCGTGCAACCTAAATCATATTCATGCTTAGAAAAAGCATCTGCATTCTGTATGAGCAACCCTGCAATGTCTGCTATCTCGTTCTTAGACCTACCTTTACTGGATGTATCAAATAAATTCTTTAAATCCCACTTCTGACACCAGAAAAATATGTCAGGGTCCAGTGGGGCCGGCACTAAGAAATAACTTCAAATATGGTTCGAATCCTAGTCCATGCAAGGCGTCTTAAGCAATCAAGCTTAAGGAGCCAGACCCCAATACCCTAATAACCTAAATATGATAAATGAGAGACATGAGGGATGAAGTAAAAGCCATATCATGTTAAGTTTCAACAATATAATTGAAAAATATCTTCAAAAAAAAATGTGTACATATAAATTTCATAAATCGTTTATATCTGTGTCTGTAATCTGTGACTTCTTATAGACATCAGCTTCATATATGTTGGTCAAGATCTAGGTCATCATTATACTGGATAAAATATATATAAGCACATAGATAAGCATAACTCATCTAAACTGCGCAGACATGAGAGTGTGATGAGTAAAATACTCATATATCACTGCTCGAACATAAGCACATGCAAAAGAGAGTGAGATGAGATATATAAACTCATATACCACTGCTCTTACACTAAAAGCCATGCAGAGACATACACAGTGAGAGTGAGATAAGTGAGACACTTATATACCACTGCTCACACATTAAAAGCAACTTTAAGCAGGAACACAAGCATAAATCTCTTCTTGATTTCAGTATCAAATATAACATTCTTCAAGTAGACTTATAAATTACAGGAAGGACTGAGACATGAGCATAACTCATGAATGATTTCCATTCCAAAAACCCTAATATATATTTAGATGAAAAATATCTCTTCTAATACAGCTTATGAAGTTTTATCAAATTTTCAGCATGAACATCAACTGAACTGTCAAACTGTAAAAGATTTCTTGACTAAAATGGCTTCTTGTCCAACTCGTTCCTTTCTGCATGTACATTCTTCTCTCTATCTTCATAAAAAAAAATATAACACGTGCAACATGTAAACAATAACAAACGTCATCCACGCCCTGGATTCTGATTGGTCAGCCGCATCACACACAAAAATAGTTCCTAATTGAGATCAAAACTTCTAAGAAAATATGAAGGTCATCGGCCATCTTTAGCGTCCGTCAGCATCTTCTTCTATAACAAAAATAAAAATGAACAAGAAACAACTTAACTGAACCATGGAACTTCCAACTGGTGAATCCAAACATCGAACGCCATCCTTACTTTCACTTTCGTCTGTATCCGGTTACACAGGCAGTCAAGAAACAACAAAAATCTGTCTGAAAATTCTAGAAATCACTCTCGTGGATTAACCTTAACAAATTTTAGGCGTGCAAGAGGTCGATCAAGGGCGCGCTCGAGCTTTTATATCATACGATGCTGGAATTGCAGGAAAGCTCTGCAGGAATCGTTGGAAACTGGAAGGTCGCTGTTCCGCCATTCCTCGATAAAATTTTAATGAGCCAAATCTAAATTAAACTTGCATGTACATTACTCAAAGACCATGTCGCTGTTTCTGAAATAAATCTTCCTACATATATATAGCAAAAATAACACTAGACAATGTATGAAATAATATTTATAGCCTGCATGATGAGTTTTACCGATTCCCGGAAGGGGTATTTAATTAACGGAATGTCGTAAACTCCGACAATTTCAACCAAGACACCCGCAAATCTTACGAAGAGCGATGAATATTAATTACACAGATAAAACAGAATTTCTAAGTGTTGACAGTGTACAATTACACCCCAGGTATCTTCAATGATCGGTAATTGATTGAATTAAACCTGTACTTTAATGTAGAACCAAGTAATTATGATGTGACTGACAGCTTGCATGCCATATTTTCGGATAGGCCTGGATTCGGACTGTTTAAGATAGTTGATCAAAATTTATCATTTCTCGTCTTTGTGATGACATCATGGGCCCCACAATACATATAGCTGAAAGAGCTAAAAATGTAGACAAATTAAAGAATCAAGTCATTCCTAAGTTTGAAAGACAATTAATGTAAGCGTCTTTCCTAAGGAAATACCTAACTAAATGAATATACCTTTCAATCCTAATTGGTCACATATTAAGGCTGTTAAAGGTGTACACTCGTCGTAAAATGTGAGACAACCATCTGCCACGATTCCTTGATCTTGTATGAGTTGAACGATTTTGCACGCATGCGCATGGTCCATCGTGTGATGAGAAAAATCGTAACATATGTAACAACAGACAATATCTCTTGATGGATGATTGTCTTCGATGTCCACAAGAATGACCTGCATTAACATTAGCAAAAAAAGTGGCTCATATATAACGCTTACAAGAAAGGGCGTATCTAAGGATTTTTTTTTTTATTTTTTTTTTAGGGGGGGTGTTGTTTATGCTCAAATACATGCATCTTTAATAGATTAGCACACGTACTGTTGCTCGTCGTTGTCTTGGTTTACGCAAGTGTTACGAGCCAGGCGTAACAAGAAAGAAAAGCCAGCAATAAACTTGTAACAATAACAAATTTATTACAAAAAAATTATTAAAGAAAAATAAAATAACAAATTACGTTGACAAATACCTGAAGTCCAAATATAAATGTAAAATTCAAAAGTCTAGTCTGATCCTGGAATGATCCTTTTTGAATAGCAAAGTTAAATCCAAGTTAAATCCACGAACACTTATCAACTTCTTTTTCTTGGAAAGGTGGAACAAGCCTAATATTTTTAGTGACATCAAATTTTGAATTTATTCTATGTTCAAACTGATTTGTTCTCTCTTTGATTTCTAATTCTCTCATTCTTAACTGAAATTCTCTCTCTTCTCTTTCTTTTTCTAATTTTCTCTCTTCCCTTTCTTTTTCAAACTGCCTTTCCCTTTCTTTTTCTTCCCTTTCTTTGTCTAACTGCATTTTTTCTAATTCAAATTTAAATTGAAGTTCAAGCTCTCTTATCTTTAATTCAGAAATTTCAGAGTGTTTTTCAACAATGTGAGAAAGTGCATCTTCTCCAAAAATATCTTCATCCACAAAATAATGAATCAGAAGATTTTTAATTTCTTGTTTACGCATTGAAGATTTAATTTCTGATAAATTATACTTTTTTGCAAGATCAAGCAAATCAGTTTTCTTAGCCAAATCTAATACCTCCTGGGAAGGTTCAGCTACAAGCTTTTCTAAATCAAAAGACATGACTGCTTGCTGCTGGTTTTAAACTTAAAAGTGATGTGTTTCAAAAATTTCAAAATTGAAAGGCACACTTAATAGAACAACTATGATATCAACTCAGATGAGTAAATACGGTAATAATAAAATGTAAAATAAACGGTTATAATTTCCAATAATGTAGCCAAAAAGAAATATTCATTCCCGGACGAGCCCCCAATTTCTGTTACGAGCCAGGCGTAACAAGAAAGAAAAGCCAGCAACAGACTTGTAACAGTAACAAATTTATTACAGAAAAAATTATTAAAGAAAAATAAAATAACAAATTACGTTGACAAATACCTGAAGTCCAAATATAAATGTCAAATTCAAAAGTCTAGTCTGATCCTGGAATGATCCTTTTTGAATAGCACAGTTAAATCCAAGTTAAATCCACGAACACTTGAGAATAAATTCCCACAATAAAATCCACAAGAATAATTTATTTTAAAATCCAAGCTCCAATAATTCACTTAATATCCAATTTGGATAATACTCCAAATATATTGATGACTTAAAAGATCACTGATGACTTAAAAGATCACTGATGACTTAAAAGATAACTGATGACTTAAAGATCACTGATGACTTAAAAGGTAACTGATGACTTAAAGATAAGAGTACTGAAAAATGTCTCCTTATATATATTAACAAAGTAGTTTTTTCTAGAATAGACTTCCATTTACTACAGTAATCATAATCTAGCAACTTCAACAATAAAGATCATTCCAGAAATTTCTATCTAAATATAATGCATGAGTTTTCTACAACAGTTAAGAAAGTTCTAGTACATACATGTAGTAAATGTTCTAAAAATAGAACAATGATAATATTGGAAATACCAACTGGTCAGATATAAATTATATTCATGTAATATGTTGCATACATAACACAAGGTTTAATTGTAACCTTATTTATTTTCATGTTAAAGTTTTTGTATTATTATCATTACCACATGACTTCTTAATTGCGCAGAATATGATATATTTTCCTCTTTTATATGTAGTTTTCGCATAATAACAATATGAGCCGCGTCATGACAAAACCAACATAGTGCGTTCGCGCAGTCTGATCAGGATCCATGCTGTTCGCTATAAATTTCTCTACTTGTAATAGAGTTGATAAGTGAACAACATGGACCCTGCTCATACTGCGCGAATGCGAAGGCTAGTCTTGATCCATGCTGGTCGCAAACGCACTATGTTGGTTTTGTCGTGACGCAGCTCATATCTGTCATGCAAATATCTTACCTTAATGCCATAACTTGCCGCTTCCGGCCATTTGCTCCAAGATCTGTATGAACCTCCCCCTATAACTATTACTTGCTTCCCAATCATCACATCATTTGGAGTATTTATAACACTTGCCTTTTGTTCTATTCGTATAAGAAAACATACATTTAACCTACACATTTTTGATAATAATAATGTCATATTTTGACTTTTTAAGCAGACGAGACAAATCCGACAGAAGCAGTTATATTTTGGCTTACAATCTGACATGGAAAACCTAAAATGATAAGCTGTGTTTGCAACAGAGAATCAAGAATGTCACATCTGTTAAAAAGATGTAGATTGATGTACATGTGTAGGGCATCTAATTAACACTTAAAGCGTCAGAGTAAAACAATTTGTTAAAATAATATTTCTTTTATTATCTAGATTTTAGGCTATTGCCGTTTGAATCTGATAATTATTGGTGTTTACTTGGTCACAGTTTTGCATTCAAATGCCATTAAGTACATTTTCTTTTTTTTACTACAATGTGGTGCGAATACATTTTGCTGAACAAAAACAATCGTGCATAATTTTATTTTATTGACACTGTTTAGTCGACCCATACGATCGTGTAGATTTTTTGGCGTTTGCATGTCTCGACATATTTCGGGAAGAAATCATATTTAAACGTATACAATGGACCATATACTATATGGCTACTAACCTCTTTTGGTTTTTGACAGTATGTCTATCGTGATTCCCTCTGTTAGACTGGCTTTGTTCATCTGAAATTACATGTAATACATTGGAAAAAATAATGTGTAAAACAATTCAATACGGAATATATAATATATATGGTTACACAATGGAATGCCAGAACAGACGGTGTCGCCAATCAAAGTCATATCGTCTGATAATATCCTGGGCAGATCAAACGTAATATTCATATAAAGCAGTAGTATGTAGATAAGGTCTAGATCAGTTTCCACAGTATAAAATTATTGTTTTATATTCATTCGTGCATCACCAAAAGCAACTAAAAAACTTTCGCGACTTAGTTTAAACAAACCTGTTTTTATGCACATGTGGTTTATAAACTGGGTTGAATTATAGATCATGGATATTTTCCTATAGCTTCTAGTAAAGCATCAAAAGCGATTATAACTCAACATTATATTGAAACTACTACATAATGCACCTTTATGTCTTTGTGTATCATTTTGTGAGTTATCAACGGTTCTTACCCATGAATGTCATTTTGGTCAATCAATAACCCCAACACCCTTAAAACTGAAATTCCCGTTTCAGCCATCACGTTTAATCAAATATCTTTTTTATGTCTTACGATTGTACAAATTGAATTTTCAATTCCTTGCCCGCACTAGTGCCCCTTCTGTGTTGAGTTAGTTACTCTGCTGACTACCTAATCAATGGTCTTGTGCGGCAAGGGAATTGTTTATGGTTGCGTTCTGTGAATGTCGCTTTCCCTTTTTGATATATAAATATCCTTTCATATTCATATACATCCATTCTTTAGATTTTTATATAGTGTTTAGTCCTTGATAAGAGTTCTTTTACTGTTCTATCCAGTGTTGTCCAATAATTGTATCGTATATATTGTAAGAGGGATTTCGATTGAATGAGAGGTTTAACTTTTTCTACATATAATACTTATACTTATTTACACAACTGTAAACAAATCTTTGGTCGTCCCTTTACTACAAATAACGTTACACTAACATGTTTCGCCTGGTAGCTCTGCACAATAGCTAGAAACCATTCAAAGTTAGAAAAAGGAACAAACGAAAAAAAAAGATATGAAAAAAATGTTCTTTTGAAATGATAAATGATATGTTCAAATCCTTTTCTTTTTGTGAAAAGAAATAAGTTATACATGACTAAATAATTCTCCAATCACATAAAATATAAACAACATATTATATTTTCATACTTTGAGAAATAGCTAACCGTTTTTCTAATGAATCTGCTACATACTCGTAAATATCTTTTGAAAAATCTGACTTTCACCTACCATGTCTTTTAAAACAACGATCATTAACATTATTGTTTGCTGCTACTGAAGCGCCCCTGCTCTTAAAGATAGAAGACCAACATTTAAGTTTGGAGCGATAATCTTAAAAAGTGATGTAACACATTCCCTTGCTCTAGTGTAGCTTAACTGTTTGTTTATATGAATCAGATTTAAACCGGATTTAGACTTAAAAGCAGGCTTAAACAAAAACATAATAGAAGAAACATCTATGTCACCTAAACTTATATACCTCTGTAACATTTTAACCGGACATGCTGAAGTAATACCTTTACTACTTAATACTTCATTACCAAATCTATATTGATCTGATTTCTTTTTTATATAGCTGTCTTTAAAAATGATGTCTGAACATTTTAGATTACTGAGCTCATCAAAACGAACAAAAAAATGAAAAAGCCAATGTAATCATATAAATTTCGAAACAAAAGTCAACTGACATTTTGTATTTATCACAAAGTTCTACAATGAGTTTTGTTGACACCGGATCTTTCTTTTGTGTATGTGTCTTTGCTGTACGCTTTGATTATTCTAATTAATTTTTCACGAATGAGTTTTTTGTTGGATCTTGCAAACCGTTTTACTCATGTGCCCATGTTATTCCGTAGAAAATCTAGGCACGGTATGATACTAACTTCCAGTATCTAAAAGTTCAGTTAAATATTGTGCAATCAAAATAAGACGCACGGGTTAAGATAAATAACCCTTTCTGGAACAATATACCCTCCATCTGTTAAATGCGTTGCTGTATTTCTTATTAGTGTTTTTACTCTTTGAGCCAATTAAACGATGGCACATTCTGTCAACCATACTTTGGCCTCTTGTAGCTGTTCTATTATGTTGCGTTTCAATAACTTTTTCTTACACATGAAACACATCATTTTAAATTATAAATGCTTAAAACACTTAAAATCATAACATGATAAGTTTTACTGGGTATATGATACCCAGGGTATGCACAATTAGCTGCTTTAAAACACCGGCAGAATTTGACAGATCGTGAAAACAAATGACATTTCGTAATATCATAATAATAATTAACGGATATGATGCAATAAATGCATGTATACAAACTGTATATGTCAGGGACAATATACCTTTTACAAATATTTGATGACATGCATTGTGACTCTTTATTTCTATTAAGAAATGCAAACTTAATTTCCTCTCATGTTGTGTCAATAGTGACGTCACAGTGCATGCTTAGTTTTGTCTAAAATCTTAATCAATTCCGGAACAGAATTTTTAGGTTAAAAAGTACTAAATTAGGTTAATAATATCGGTTACTTAGACAACCAGGTATGGGAATTTTATTGGAAATCGTCGTGGCCTGTTCGGATCTATTTCTTTTAGATGTAAGAGACGAACGGCTAGCCATTGGTCGATATGGAGGGCTTTGGCGCCAAAATTGACGTTCCACAATCTGAGTGGATGTGAGCGTTAGCTGTGCTTAGGTGCCCAATAATATAAAAGTTCCTAACGCCGGGAATTTCAATATATTGCCGGTACGGCGTTATCCTTCAGCTTACTGGATTCGGTCACTGGACAGATCATTTAAGTCTAACCATTTTAATTAGTTTCATTTTACTTAATTAATTAATAGGAATCCTCAGTTAAACATTATAGATCTACCGCAAGATGATACTACACATATATACTGGATACAACTTACAAGAGCTGAGCTTTATTTCATCACCTAGTATTTTCTGAATTGGAGCCCATGATGGAACGAATGTAACTAACATTTACTAACATTTACTAACGTTTACTTTTACTAGCAATAACTTACAGTCATCATTTAATTGATAATTTATTTATAGATTCTACTTCATCTTGCTACACATCCTTAGATTACTTAATAAAATAAATCTTTTTTTTTCTTAAAACAAGCTCTTTGTAGTTTATCTGAAATTATTCTATCAAGGCACCCAAAGGTCGGAGTTTTCCCTCTAGGCTCGAACAACGGCTATCTTTCCTTCCCAAAAAGCATCACACTGGTGTTAGAGAAGTTGGATTTTGATATATTTTCAAAATTACGGAGCAATTTTGGACGTAGAGATACTCTTTGACTGGGAGAATAGAAGAACACAGCTAGAGAGATAACTTTGAAGTAAAAGGTTCTAGACCCGTTCGACGCCGCACACCTGTTTGGATCCACACACCCGTTCGTTTCCGTACACCTGTTCGGATCTGCGCACCTGTTCGACGCCGTACACCCGTTTGATTCCGTGGACCTGTTCGACGCCGTACACCCGTTTTATTCCGTACACCTGTTCGGATCCGTGGACCTGTTCGACGCCTTACACTCGTTCGATTCCGTGCACCTGTTTGGATCCGAATTAAGCATATCTTACATAATACACGAGAACGTTGTGTTTTCTTTTTATTTATTCTTCATATCTCTTATTACCCAGAAGCCTCAAAATATTAATTTTAAGTATGAGCAGATCATACCAATGATTACCGGTCTCTGAAAGTCCATATCTCATAGTTAAACAATAAATGGCAATCTAATACAATCACCGTTCCCTGAGCTGTTATATATAATGAAATCCACGTAAAAATTCACGACTGAGTTACTGGAGTATTTATGACGCACTCGTGTATGAGATAGTTATAGAAAATAAGAGACCTATACTATTTGAATCCTTACTTAATAAGCTCCCTAAAGGAGGTACTCGATCTCAATGTAAACACAGCACTAGCACCGTATTCAAAATTGTCAACGACAGAATAAAATAAAAAACACCTCCTTAATCCTATTGATCACTCTTTCTTGCTCTAAATGTATTATCATCGTTGTATAAACTTCTAAGTTACATTAAATCTATTGAGTGATGTCGAAGTCAAGAAAGTGCCGATCCGTTTATTTCTTAAAACCGCTTTACTGATACCATGTCTCCTCTTCTGTGGTATCACTAGAGAGATAGGCAAGGAAACTATGACAAGAAATTCCTGGCAGGACAGCAGAAATGATCAATCTCATATACTCGTAATTATTTACTTACCCTCGACATCACGAGCTATTGCTTAAGATGAGGCGTATTCTCATAATGGCAAACTAGGGGCGATTCTAATAACAGAGCTACAATCTATGCACATCATGTATATACATACATGCTCAAACCCACACTAAACCAACTTAACCAAAGATACTAATAATATCACAGTAAAGTTGCAAATATTAAACCACCCAGAGCAACACACCAAAACCCGCAAAACCCTCAATTACAACCAACCTAGAGGTACGCAAAAAGACAGTCTAACGATGGGCTATCCAAGAAATTATAGACACGTACTAGACAAAAGAATGAAACAGATGCCGAGTTTGGAGATAAGATTAGGCTGTATGCTGAAAAAGCATATGTGGCACTTGATCCAGTGGCCAAAGAGATGCTAGCACTGGAACATTTCTACAAGAGCTTTTTACCGGAAATGATGTGTCGACTGATGGAAAAAAGTTGTAAAACAATCAGGGAAGCAGTAGAAATAGTCGAACGATACGAGGATGTGCTAGGAAGAGCAACCACATCGGCAGGACTGATAAGTGGTGTAGTCTCAGAAAAGTTTAGAGATGTCAGACCTGCAGACTTAAAAGAAGACACAGAACTTAAGACTATAATAGGAGCTATACAGAGGATAGAGGCACGCCTGGATAAACTTAAGACAACTGATAGGAAGCCTATAAATGACAGATCCTGCTTTACTTGTGGGGCCAGGGATCATTTTTGGAGG